CATTTTCACTCTTACACACATATATTCTCCTTTACATACATACATTTTCACTCTTACACACATATATTCTCCTTTTACATACATACATCTTCACTCTTACACACATATATTCTCCTTTTACATACATACATTTTCACTCTTACACACATATATTCTCCTTTTACATACATACATTTTCACTCTCACACACGTATACTCACACATTCATACATTTTGCTCTCATATTATCATATTTCAATGCACACATTCATATATTGTCACTCACACATTCATGCATTTTGTTCTCATATTCATATAATTTAATGCTCATATTTATACATTTTGCTCTCATGCGAAATCTACTAAAACAAAGTATGTCATGGTAGTGGTCAGCTGTTAAACACAAAAGTGTATCTTAAGGGCTGTAAATATAATAAGCCTGTTGTCAATTTTAGACACAGGCTTATTATATTTACAGCCCTTAATAACATTCATTTTCTGGACTCAATGTGTGTCTTGGCCGTTTTCTTTGTTCCAAGCAAACGAGTGCTTTTTGTTTTGAAATCACTTCCGCGAGTTTCGCGGGCCTCCCCCCTCGCTCCACTGACCAGTAGACCATTTAGTAAGGTAACAAGCAAAAGGGCAAAAACGCCTCTCAGACGCTCTTCCGTTTACTTTTTTAATAAAGAAAAACAAATGGTCCGTAGATACACGGACTCATATAGCCTATGTATGTATACTGTAAGGAGAATGTATGTGCGTGAGAGGACCAGTATGAATTACGTGATAGAAATATGCAAACACAAACCTACAGACTGGGGGATGGGAGATCACAGGAGTGGGGGGGGGGGGGGGGGGGGGGAGAGCTGTGGAATGTGACCCTTGGGAGAATTCCTCCACACATTCCGATGGCCAATTCGTTTTAAACAAAGAGTTCGCAACACAGGACAGCATAGGCAACATGGGGGGTGGGGGCTGGTGAACGGTCTGGTTAATGTTTGTAAACACAATCCCCAGGATGTGTCCTAATCAGGAGCCGGGTAAATGAGAGACTGAGGAGCCCCCGAAAAACAGATCCCGAAATAGCTCGTCCTGGTTTCCGCAGCAGATAGGCCTACAGTATGGTGTCTGTGTTATGTCAGTTATTTTAAATAAAACGTTGAAAACTGAACTTGAAAATGGTTTCCTCTTTTTATTTTATGTATCATTTTCGGGACGGGGAGACGTGTGTGATTAAAAATTAATTTGCAGAAAGTAAAGTGATCTAACTAAGTTCTATTCATATTCTTGACGGGAAGAGCAGTGTAAATGGGTGGCCATATGCATTTGAAAAGCAATATAAATCACACAGTTATTATACAATAGGCTATAAAAGCACCATCGATAACCATTACCTTTATCCAATTCAAACTTTGGACGGGAAAAAAGGAAGGTGTACATGGTTGGGCTATACTGTAGGCCCAGGGGCGGCGGGTGCTGTAGGCTAGGGAAGGCTAAGCCTTCCCAAATATTTGTGTAACTGCATCCTGGTAAAATAAAAATATAATGTCTTTGACATTAGCGCTGCTATGCAGCCACCTGTGCCCTGTACCATGAAGCCAGTTCAACAGACCCTGGATATGCTTGAGTTATCTTAACTAACCCTAACAAACGCGATCTCGCTAAACGGTCCTACGGCGCTGGTTATCAACTCGGTAAATCACGAGGGGATTGTTTCGTCAACTTAATGTCTTGCTTAAAATAATACGTCTGCATACAGTATATGTGACAACGTAACTAAGTGTTGCACGGCCAGATACGGCTCGAGAAGCTGACTCAGATAAGGAAATATTGTGATATCGATGTGAGATCGATGATCTGATTGATGATGTGATGTCAGTGTGATATGAATGATAAGTGTGACACGTCGGCGTCTTCTCTGCATACGGCAGTTTAAACTGCATTTCCTTTTTCCTGTAATATGACTTGATAGATTTAAACTCTGCACACTGAGCTCTGATCGGTCAGCAGGCGGTGCTTTCACTGAGTTGATCTCTTTTCCATAGACGCCGGAGGCGGGCAGCGTAAGATGAAAAAAAAGTTATTTAGCCTTCCCAAACCTGAGCCTCACGCGCCGCCTATGTGTAGGCCTACTGTATACATACAAAGGCCATTCAAGCTAGAGTTCTTCTGGAAATGTTCACATCAGGCACCTTCAAGTTAAACAATACTAAACAATTAACACAGTAGGCCTAAATTATGTGGATTAAACCACATTTATTTCGTTAAAAATAAACGAAATATGATTTTGTTTGAAATGTCATCAGGCACCTTCAAGTTAAACAATCAGGTGCCCACTTTAATGTGCCGCCACCTCCGGACTCGGCTTGACTCGGTTTAAAGAATGCACAAATGTGTTTAATCGTTTATGTCAGATATGTACTAAGTAGCCTAAATGCATTTGTTCCTGCTCAAGATTAGATTCAACTTTATTGTTATTGCACATATTGCAGGTGAAGCGTTGCGTGAGTGAGGACGCTGGCGTGTTTGTCGCCGCTTCACTTCGTAGCCAAAACATTTGTTTTTTCTGTGCTGTTTTTCCCCCGTGTTTTTGTGTTCTAACAACCACAAATCCACTGCAAATAGTCTGCTAAAGCTACCATAACTGTCTGGATCTATCGACTGTGTACCTATTACACTTACACATTCTCCGACGATCGGCTGTCACTGCTAGCCGCCGTTCAGCCGCTAGCTCCTGCGTAGCTATCAGCCATCCTCTTCAACCTGGGATCTCTGGAGCTCCATTTCCTTCTCCACATCCCCAGTCTGTCCCCTCAACTCAGCTGCTACCCAGTTTCTTGTTAGCATTTCATTGCTAGCCACTGCTGGCTTCTCAATGTAGCTGCCGCCTAGCCCCTGCTTAGCAGCTCGTAGCTAGCCGCTGCTCCTCTGTGCTGCTGACATGGCTCTCTGGAAATACTCCGCTCTGCAAATGTGGAATCTTGTCTGCCACAACACTCCTAACTACCTCACTACAATACAATCACTTGGACTCCTTCGCCGTTCCCGCTATGTGCATAGGGCTGCACGTCGCAAGTTTGTCAACTCTGACCATGACATCCCCACCACACAGACAGACAGACGGTCCGTCGCACTTCGCCGACGTCATCAGAGCACACCCTACGTGCATAGCTGTAATCTGAGACCTCTCAGCTGTATCGACGTCATCAGCCCATTCACCCCCTCTGCCTCAACAACTACAAACAACAATGCAACATTCATGCTGCAGAATGTTCGATCACTGAACAAAAAAGCACCTCTGATCAATGACATTATCACTGATCATAAACTTCATTTCTTCTGCTTAACCGAAACATGGCAAACTGGACAGGATTTCCTATTACTCAACCAAGCCACACCTCCTGGCTATGTCTACCTCCAAAAGCCCCGCTCCACTGGTCGGGGCGGTGGGCTGGCTGTAATATACAGGGCAGACATCTCGATCAAAGAGCTTCCTGTACCCAACACCACCTCACTTGAATGTCTTGCCTTCACTATATCTGGATCTGCACAGCTCCAGGCTGTTCTTATATATCGCCCCCCCAAAGCCTCAGCCTCTGCCATCTTCCTGTCGGAACTATCTGAGCTACTCTCCTCAATCTGCTCCATGTCCCAATCTACGCTCCTTCTTGGAGACTTTAACATTCATGTGGACTCACCCTGTTGCACATTTTCCTCTGACTTCCTGGCACTTCTGGACTGCTTCAATTTTGAACAGCATGTCCATGATCCCACCCATGCCAAAGGCCACACCCTGGATTTGGTATGTACCACTGGCCAGAGTTGGGTGTAACGCGTTACAAAGTAACGCGTTACTTTGTAACGCGTTACAAAGTAACGTGTTACACCCGCGTTACAAAGTAACGCGTTACAGTAACGTAACTACTTTTTTCGGGTAAAACGTAGTGTAACGCGTTACTACGAAACATTTGGTAACGTAACGTAGTTTCTTCTTCAATTCTCCGCAACGTTACTTTTACGAGTGACAGTGACACTGCCTACTCAGCTGCGTGCTTACGCATTAGGCACGAGCTCTCATTCCACACTGTACGTGCTACGTGACGTGCTGGTGGTGGCATGAAGACTGAAGAGCAGTGATGGCAACGGCAAGTGAGAAGCAGGCGCAGCCAACGCAAACATTCGAGGGATGGAGGTATTCCCATTACTTCGAACTTGTTGACAATAAGGGGAAAAATGTGAGTGTAAGGTGCACGTTGTGCCCTGGCCAGAAACTTTTGTCCACTGCCGTTAATTCAACTGCCAACCTCATCAAGCATTTGAGAGGAAAACATGCTAGCATGAAGCTAGTAGCTCAAGATCCCCGGAGAAATGAAGATATTTCGAGTCCAAGCCCAAAGCAGCTAAAACTTCAGTTTCTCCTATCTAAACAAGAGTTGGACAAACTTGTAGCTTCGTTCATCGTCAAAGAAATGTTGCCCATCAATACTGTTGAATCTCCCACTTTCAGAAAGATACTTAGCAAGATACCGATAACAGGAGACAGGCGCCCATGGTCAGATCGTAAAACGTTCACTGGCTATCTGGATGAATGCTATCTGAAAATGGAGAGTGAATTAAAGAAAACGTTCGAGAGTTTGCCGTATCTGTCAACCACTGCGGATATATGGAGTAGTCATAACAGAAGCTTTTTGGGAATCACTGTGCACTGGATCAATCCATGCAACTTTAAACGTGAGAAAGCTGCCATCGCATGCAAAAGAATAAAGGGCAGGCATACATATGATGTTATAGGCTTTGAAATGGAACAGATTCACTCAGCATTTGGCCTTTCACATAGGATCACCGCCACCGTTACAGACAACGGGTCTAATTTTGTTAAAGCTTTCAAGATGTATGCACCGCCTGAGCCTAACGAGGAGGAGGATAATGACGAGCAAGGTGTCGTTTTCACAGATGTGGAAGAGTTGCTTGGGGCCACAGAAGGACAGTTTTCTCTTCCCCCGCATTTCAGATGTGCTTCGCATACACTCAATTTGATCTCGTGCAATGACATCGACAAATGGCTGTCCTCCAACAGTGACTCAAAATGTGTGTACAGGAGTGCAACGGCAAAGTGCGCTGCTCTTTGGACAAAGGCGAGCCGCTCTACCTTGGCCTCTGAGATTGTCGATGAAATCTGTGGAAAAAAAATGATTGTGCCTACATCAACAAGGTGGAATTCCTTCCACGATGCCCTGTCCCGCATCAGTGACATCCCGGCCCAAGATTTGAATACGCTTTGTACTAGACTGGACATCAGAGCCCCGACAGAGCGCGAACATCTATTCCTAAAGGAATACTGCAGTGTTTTGAAACCCCTGACGGTAGCACTGGATATATTGCAAGGGGAAGACAACTGCTACTATGGGACTCTTCTACCAACCCTGGAGACCCTGATGTCCAGGACACTGGCACTCCAAAATGGACTGTCGAGGATGACAGCAAACCTACCGGGTGTAATTGTACAGGTAAGCCGATTCTTAAAGTTAGTAGCCTAGGCATATACATCATATATAGCCTACGATGTCTATGATATAAATGTATATGCCTATCCATTAACGGACATTTCTTAATAAATATTCTTAAGATAAATGCATTATGCCTCCCCTGATGGAGCTCTAGTGAGTCTGAAAACTAGGCTTATTTGTTCTATATAATTTTGTCCTAGGCTATCAGGACGCGATTCGCACCAGTGTTGGAGAGCAGTGAAGCTTTATTGGCTGCCTTGACGTTGCCGAAATTTAAAGTTCGATGGATTGTGGGAGCGGAGCGGAGAGAAGCGGCGCGTGCGCTGCTCATCGCGGAGTGTCGCACTCTACCCCGTGATGAAGAACCGGCTAACAATAAAAACCGAGAAGCCGCCGCACACAGCAGCGCCAATGAGAATGACTTTTTTTCTTTTGATGAGGAAGAGGAAGACGCAATGTCCATTAGCGCAGACTCGGAGGTATTTGAGTACATGAGATCAGGCTCAGAGTTAGAAGTCCTCAACCGTTTCCCCCGAGTGAAAGCTGTGTGTATGAAATACAACACTGCCACACCATCCAGTGCACCGGTGGAGAGGCTGTTCAGCCTGGGAGGTATTGTGCTTTCCCCCAGAAGAAACAGACTCTCAGATAAACGTTTTGAAAGACTGCTCCTGATGAGGTATAATCGCACATTTTGTACTGATGTGGAATAGGTTGCCTGCCACCCATGCTATAGACATAGCTCAAGCCTATGCCTAATATCCTCTTTTTTTATCTGCCATCATACTGTGAAGAAGGGTGAGCATATGCAGTGAACATAGCCTTTTAATTCTGAGGCCAGTCCTGCTTTAAGTTGTTCTTGATTTTATTTTGGCTAAAATGTCTTTGCTTCCAAGCTGTATTATGCCATTTTATTTTATTTACACAAGCCATCGATATCAAGACATTTTGAAGTTATTCTTTTTCTGTTGGATTTACATGAGGCATGTTTTATTTTGAGACACATGAGCCATTTTGAGGTTATCATGTTGTTCCTAAGGAGCCTATTGATATGATTTGCACTAGCTTTGCACCTATTTTGGGGCTAGCCTGTTTAATGATTATGATTTTATATTGATATTTGATATTGATAGCCCAATGTTTTGTTAAGTGCTCTGTGGCATTTTTTTATAATAAAGAGCACAAAAGAAATATCTGTTATGTCCTCCATATATGTAGAACTTTATGTAAGCCTACACATTTAGGAACAGAGATGGAGTTCTGCCCAAAGTCGAGCAACATAAAAGTAACGTAAAAGTAACGAGTAACGTAAAAAGTTACTTTCCTTGCAGGGTAACTAAGTAAAGTAAGGGATTACTTTTTTAAAGAAGTAACGAGTAACGAGCAAACACTACTTTTTAAAAGTAACTTCCCCAACACTGCCACTGGCACAACTGCATCCCACCTGCAGTGCCTCAACCTGGCTGTCTCCGACCATCATGCCATCCTGTTCACTGTGCCTATCGCCATACCCAGACAGCTTGTACTGAGGACAATTACCTACAGGAGCTTAAAATCAGTGAGCGCACCAGCCATAACCAGCCTCATAGCTAGCCACCTGGCCTCCGATCCCCCTGACACCTCGGTTGACGGACTGGTAGCCCAGTACAACACTGCTCTTTCCCTGAGTCTCGACTCACTTGCCCCCCTCATTACCCGCACTGTCTCCTTCACCCACTGAGCCCCCTGGTTCACCACCAGTCTCCGTGCCATGAAAGCCTCTGGCCGCCAACTGGAGCGGCTCCACAAAAAATCTGGCCTCACCGTCCATCTGGAGGCGTATAGAGAGCATGTCAAATCTTACAAGGACGCCCTCTCAAAAGCTAAGGCACACTACTACTCCTCACTCATCGGTAACCAGCAACACCACCCCCGTATGCTCTTCTCCACCATAAACCGCCTACTCCGCCCAATTGACCCCCCCAACCCAGCAGACGCCCCCGAGCTTTGCACCAGGTTCCTTGACTTCTTTGAGGACAAAGTCAACTCCATCCACCAGGAACTCCAGGCTTCTGCCCCATCCCATCCACATGCCACACCACCTCCAGTCACTGTTCGCTCAACTCAACACCTGCCTCAATGTTGTCTCTCCTCCTTTGCACCAGTGGATGCCACACAGGTTACCAAACTTGTCTCAAAAGCTAAGGCTACAACCTGCTCCCTCGACCCCATGCCCTCTGCCCTGGTCAAAACTTGCCTACCCATCATCTGCTCCACCATTGTTAAAATTATCAACTCCTCCCTGGAATCAGGCAAGGTTCCCGCCGTCCTTAAGATAGCAGCTGTCACCCCCATCGTCAAAAAACCTGGTCTCGACCCCGAGGACCCCAGCAACTTCCGGCCGATCTCCAACCTTCCTTTTCTTAGCAAGATCATGGAAAGAGCAGTTGCTGCCCAACTCCACCATCATATGTCCGACCATGAGCTCTACGAACCCTTCCAATCAGGCTTCAGATCCAACCACAGCACAGAGACGGCCCTTATTAAAATAACCAATGACCTCCTCATAGCCGCCGATTCAGGCCTCGTCAGCATCCTTATCCTCCTGGACATCTCCGCCGCATTCGACACAGTCTCCCACACTATCCTACTCAACCGCCTATCCGTCTACCTTGGCCTCTCTGGTACAGCTCTCTCCTGGTTCCATTCCTACCTCTCCAACAGGCAACAGTTTGTGACCATCGGAAAATCCAGCTCTCCCCCAGCCCCTGTCAACCAAGGTGTGCCGCAAGGTTCAGTGCTCGGCCCCCTTCTATTCAACATCTACATGCTCCCCCTCGGTGAAATCATCCGCCGACATGGTCTCAACTTCCACTCCTATGCCGACGACACCCAACTCTACATCAGTACCAATCCATCATCCCAGCTACCCCCACTGTCACTTGTCAACTGCCTCCGCGACATCCAAGCCTGGATGTCAAAAAATCTACTTAAACTCAACAATAACAAAACAGAGCTCATGGTTGTGGCCCCAAAAACACTGCTCCGGAAGGTTGGAGATCTGCTCCTCACCATCGATGGCGGCTCCATCCACCCTTCCCCTGAGGTTCGCAGCCTGGGCGTCACTCTGGACTCCAGCCTCACCTTCAACTCCCACATCAGATCTACTGTCAAAACTGCTTTCTTTCACCTACGAAACATCTCCAGACTCCGGCCCTCTCTCCCCGACCCCGTTGCAGAAACATTAATTCATACCTTCATCTCTTCTCGTCTGGACTACTGCAATGGAGATCTGTTCGGGGTCACCAGCAAAGCCCTGGACAGGCTCCAGTACGTCCAGAACTCTGCAGCCAGGCTCCTCACCCACACTAAGCCCTGGCAACACATCACCCCTACCCTCATCCACCTTCACTGGCTCCCGGTCAAGTCACGCATCCAGTACAAACTCCTCCTGCTAACTTACAAATCTCTCCACTCCCTAGCCCCTCCATACATCTCTGACCTCCTTCAGCCCTACACCCCCTCTCGTCACCTGCGGTCCTCTGACAAAGGGCTGCTCTCCATCCAGCGCTCCAAGCTGAAAACATTTGGCAACAGAGCCTTCAGTGTCGCAGCCCCCACCCTCTGGAATTCTCTCCCCTGTGCAATCAGGAATGCAGACACTCTGGACACCTTCAAAAAACACCTCAAACACCATCTGTTCACTCAGGCCTTTGGCCTCAACTAATATACAGTACTCAGCAACCTGTTCCTGTTTTTGTTTTCTTCAGCCTATGTCTCTTTATTATTACTTTTTGTTTTGTTACTTCCCATTGTAAAGCGTCCTTGGGTTTCGTGAAAGGCGCTATATAAATTGAAATTATTATTATTATTATTATTATTATTACTGAGACAACGAAATGCAGTTTAGCTTCTAACCAGGGGTGCAACAAGCAGCGAAAAGTAATGTGCACAACACTACAGAAAACAATTAACACAGTAAATTATGTGGATTAAACCACATTTATTTTGTTAAAATGAAACGAAATATGATTTTGTATGAATGATTAAATGTAGGGTGAATTGCCCTAATGTGGGACATTTTTGCATTTCAGACTTCGGGAATATATTGCGATATGAAGCCGATACAATAAATCAAAATCCAGTACCATTCCGAAATCCCCAGTAATATTAGACACTAATAATACAGTAAACTATTAACACTGTAGGCTACATATTATTGTTTGCCCGTGCAGTGGCGTTTCTAGGTGTACAAAACTGGGGGGGCAGAAAGAGGTCGGGGGAGAGAGAGAGAGAGAGAGAGAGAGAGGGGGGGGACAGAGAGAGGGGGGGGACAGAGAGAGGGGGGGAGGAGAGAGAGAGGGGGAGTGTCAAATTACATACTGAAGACCACAGGAGCAACACTGTGAGCGCATACATTTACGTACACAGCGTGGGGATGTCATAGTAATGCACCTTCATACATGGAGTAAAGGTCACCATCACAAAGTAATTCTTAACAATAACAACAACCGTAATGCTTTAGCATTAAAACACCATAGACTGTAAATATAAGGAAAACACAGACACTCATCATCGAGGTCACAATATCAATCGATCCAGCAGAGGCAAAACACAGAAGATCAACAAAATATATGACATAAATGAACTTACCAAAGCTGAAGGCTCACTTGAAAAGAAAAGCGGCACGGCGGTCCTTCCTCTGACAGAATGTGTCTATCACTTTGGAGGTGAAGTCCTGTAGTTGCTGGATCAACTGGCTTTCAATTGAAAGCATGGCCAATGCGTTAAGTCGCGGCTGTCCCATGGTGTTGCGAGTGAAAGTCTTTATCCTTTTGAGGGTGGAAAAGTTCCTCTCTGACTCGGATGTCGTCATCGGAGTTGTCACTATTATTTTGACCAAAATAACAGTCTCAGCAAATGTTTCCTCCAAGTTGTTCTCGTGAATGGATTTCAACAGAGACAGGGCAGTGTTTCCAGTGTGAAGCTCACTGTGGCGGTAGAGCGTGGTCAGCTCAGACTTCAACTTCTCCTTGTTTCCCAACGCAGGCCACAGTTTCACGGCGCAGTCAAGCTCAGGTGTAGGAAATGACAGGACATGCTGTGGGAAGAATGAGCTGTCAACAAGCTTTGCAGCGATCAAATGGTCACTCTGTGAGAACCTCTGTTCCACCTGTGAGATGACTGTGTCACAAGCCTCCTTCATCACCGGCGCTGTGCTGCTGACTCGTCGGCCTGGCTCGTCTGTTCCATCATGAGCAGTGGCGGCCAATGCATCAGTTTTCTGCCTCATTTTCTGAACATTTTCCTTGAAACGGCAGAGCGCGCTGTTGATCCCAGGTGCATCGATGCTTCGTTTTTGCAGAGTGTTGTATAGAACATCCACTTCTGGCATAAGCAACGAAAAAAACTCCAGGAGCTGCATAAATGCTCGGTCCCGCAGTTTCTTTGACAGGCCGTATGCCTCACTTATGGTGACCGCATCCCATCCTGGTTGTGCGCGTATATGCTTCATACACTGAAGTAGTGCATCTCGGGTCTCTCAAACCGCGTTCACAGTTCTGCTTTTAAAGTTCCATCTCACAGCCGGTGGCCGTGGGATGCGTCTCTGTGTTGCCTCTGCAAGAGCTGCAACACGTTTTGGAGCACCGGAGAAAAAAGTGGAAAAAGCAGTTAGATCTGCAAAAAAACCCTTCAGGATGCTCATCCTTGCTGAACACAGTTGCTGCAGGGTCAGGTTCAGTTGGTGGGCGTAGCAGTGAACAAACTGAGCGTTTGGGTACGTCTCCATCATCACC